CGTGCTTGGTACCTTGCTCCGGAGTTACCTCCCCCATTTCTCTACTCCTTTCCTTATCCCCCTTGGACATCTATCCCAGCGGTCAATCATCCGTCACCTTGATATCTCTGATCTTCACCGCCTGGCTTCTCCCTTTCTCTTTCCTCGTTCGCTTTCTTGAGGAAAGCGTTCGGTGTATTGTATTGTACTGTATAGTAGGTAGTTATTTTATATTGGATTTCAAATATAGATGGTAGGCGAGTTCAAATTATATTTTACTATGGCTCAAGTGAGATCGTAGGCCGTCGTGAGGTGTAGAGTTATTATACTAGTGAATAGAACTGATTTGAGTCTGCAATACAACATTTGTCTTGTAATTTAGAAACTTAGAAACTAGAAAGCGTGCTGTCAGTCAAGCACAAGGGGCCAGCCCAATTGCCGCGTGCTTCAGTGATGGAACTTTTCATAAATTCGACAAGGATATCAAGAACTGATCATGACAGAATATATATGCAAACAGCAGAATAATATATGTTTTCCAGAAGATCCAACACCAAAAATTATGTACTCCAAATTAACTCGAAAATATCAAATGAAACCGCAACCAATGAAGACGACAAACACCCAGAACCGAAACCAAGGCAGATCAATGTGAGCGGCACATCAAGTATCCCCCAAAATCACTGGCTCTTCTTGTCCGCCTCGTGAGTCTGCTCGCTCTCGGGCTGCTCAGTGACAGCCTTGCGAGCCTTCTTCTTGCTGCTCTTGTACTTGGGCTTGACCGAGAAACGGGGAATGAAGCGTCCCACGCGAGCCTGGTATTCCTTGTACTCAGGGTACTTGCCGGCGCTGATCGATTCGGTGAGACGAACGCTACCCTGGAAGATGAGCAGAAGGCCCAAGACACCAATGCCGGTCCACTGGACGTAGGATTCGGTGCGGTAGCAGTTCCAGAGGTACAGAGTGAGCCAGATGGCCTGCTCACAGAGGAAGTTGGGGTGACGAGACAGGGACCAGAGACCACTGACGACGAATCCGCGCTCCAGATCCTCAGGCTCATACTGTCCCTTGTACTGGTCAGGGATGCGGGCAGTCTGTTGGTAGTTGCGCTTGGCAGTCTGGAAGTTCCATTGCTGCTGATCGGCGAAGTACTCGATGATAATGAAGAAGAAGGCCACCCGGGAGAAGACAAGGTCCGGAACCTCGAAGGACTTGTGGTCCGACAGACGCGAGAGAAGGAGGAAGTTGTAGGTCGGGGCGGTGATCAAAAGCAGGAGCAAGGACTGCGTCAGGCTGATGAAGACGATGTTGAAAATGAAGAAGACAAAGCGGTTGTTGACCTTGGAGCGTACGATTTGCCAACGGTAGTCTTCCGAGCCGATTGAGTAGCCACCACGGCGCCAGTAGTTGAACGTCAAGCGGGCCTGGGCAGGTTAGCGGGGCGGATTTAATGCACAGAAAATCATGCTAACTCACACTCCAAATCAAGGTGATGGCCGCGATAGTATCCAAGCTCTGAGTCTGCAGGCCCGACAAGCGGGCCCAAAGAGCGAAGTGCACATTGTAGATGGACGGCAGGATACTCCAGAACCGATCAACTTGGGAGTAGTTCCTGTTGATCTCCGAAGCGATGACAAACAGAACTGATAGAGCTAGACTCAAGAAGAGGGCCGAGATGAAGGGATTCGTGGAGAGGTAAATGTCCTTGAGGATGTTCACATCCTTGGCTGCGGCTGCAAGCTGCAGTCGCTCGGGAAGCGCCGTGATTTGCGACAAGAAGGGTAGGACAGTGTGGCTGAAGGAAGCACAGTCCACGACAGACTTGACGTCAGGGAGGGGTAGCGCCATCTTGGTCAGATGCACTCTGAAGGAAAGGATTTTAGTTAGCTGGTTGCTGCTGGGGTGACAGGGAAGCTTCTCGCATGTGAGTGGAAGCAAGACAAGGCCGGGTTGTGGATGGAGTCAAAACAATTACCACAACAAGCTGGCCGGGAAGCGTGACCGAGCAACCGCCCGCGGCTGCCTGATTCAGGCCTGCAACTTGTCCCAATCCGGCCATGACGGGGAGCTCGAGCCACTATTAGAGCCTCAGGCAGTAAAATAGATTTTCAGGCACAAAGGCACCCTACCATACCCGTGACTCGCGTCTTTTTCGCGTCTACAGCGACAAAGTAGATGATTAGTATGTGATCCCTGTCACTTCGCCATAAAGGTCAACACTCTTTGTTTCGGTTGCGCTCTGAAAGGGAGCATTGGTCATGGGCACACCTTAGCCTTCCTGATCAACTCAGGCAATTGCCATGACAACGCAAAGGGTGCTGTGCGTGGCAGAAAAGCCGGCCATTGCTAAAGCCGTGGCCCAGCACTTGTCCGGCGGCTCCTTTCAAACAGTAAGTGGCTCGGTGCCGGGACTTGCCAATACCTCCTGAGGGTTACGATTGCTGAAGTAGCTGTACTGTAGATAGCCATCCGAGGGAACCAATATGTGAAAAACTATGTATTCGATTTCAATTTTGGTGGCCCTTGGGGCACTTGCACTGTGACCATGACCAGCGTCATTGGACACTTAACTGGTCTGGATTTTGAACGCCAATATAGAACATGGCTGTCCTGTCCCCCATCAGCTCTATTCGAAGCTCCAGTACACGAGTCTGTGGCTGACGTATGCATTGCTGCTCACCCCTACGAAGGTCTGGTATAAAACCCGTGCTAATACCTGGCGGCAGGATAAAGTAGCCATTGCGAAAAACATCCAGGAACAGGCCCGGAGATGCAAGGCTCTCTTCATCTGGACAGACTGTGATCGAGAAGGTGAGCATATAGGAACGGAAATCCGGAAGCAGGCAAAGGAAGGAAACGCTCGCATCGTCATCAAACGGGCAAGGTTCAGCAATACAGAAAAAGCGTGAGACCTCCTCCTTTTCAGATGAACTGCAGTGCTAATTTCTGGGTAAAGCCATGTGCTACATGCTGCTCGATCACTGATCGAACTTGATGACCTCCAAGCAAACGCTGTTGCGGCCAGAATCGAACTGGATCTCCGGATCGGTGCGGCGTTCACTCGTCTGCAAACGCTTCAGTTGAAACCTCTTTCTGCAGCGCTTCAAGATACTATTATAAGCTATGGTATGGTTCTATCCTTCCTTATACGAACACTACTAACAACCGACCAGGATCCTGTCAATTCCCGACACTCGGGTTTGTAGTTGATCGTTATCTTCGCGTCAAGAACTTTAAGCCTGAGACGTTCTGGGGAATCAAAGTTATGCATACCCGGGACGATATCAAGGTCAATTTCCTCTGGAAACGTGTTCATCTTTTTGACAGAGCTGTGGTGACGGTGATGCTCGAGCGGTGTCTCATGGCAAAGAAAGCCAAAGTCACCAAGGTCACCCAAAAGCCCACCAGCAAATGGAGACCTCTACCTTTGACAACAGTGGACCTTCAGATGATGGGAAGTAGATATCTCCGCATGGACAGTCAGACAATCATGAAGGTAAGCCGGGTGGTATGCCATATGTTCGAGCAATGGCTTACACAGTGCAGGTCGCGGAAGCCCTATACACGAAGGGTTTCATCAGTTACCCACGTACCGAAACAGACCAGTTTGATAAGGGCATTGACTTGAAAAAGCTTGTTGAGAAGCAGCTACCGGACGGAAACTGGGGTCAATATGCTCGACAGTAAGCATCCCTCAGACATGCCTTTCTTCGCTGCTAACATCTGAAGTCTGCTGGACGGCGCATTCAAGACTCCACGATCAGGTCGACACAACGATCAAGCCCACCCACCTATACACCCCATTTGCTGGGTCGCACCCACGGCTCTTACGGCTGACGAGAAGAAAGTCTACGAGTTCGTCGTCCGTCGCTTCCTTGCCTGCTGCTCCGAGGATGCCAAGGGTCAGTCGACGGAAGTCGAGATCCAATACGGTGACGAGTTCTTCCACGCCAAGGGTCTCTTGGTTCTCGAACGGAATTATCTAGATGTCTACGTCTACGATAAGTGGGAGAGTAGTCAGCAACTGCCAAACTTCCAGATGGGTGAAATGTTCGAACCCACTGAAGCCAAGATCTTCGACGGCAAGACCACACCTCCGAATTACCTCACCGAACCGGAACTGATTGGCCTGATGGACGCCAATGGAATCGGTACCGATGCTACCATGGCGGAGCACATTGCAAAAATAAAGGAACGACAATACGTTGCCGTCCATTCGCGTGGGAGCGGTCGAAATGCAGTTAAAGAACTGATCCCCACCCGATTGGGCATTGCTCTGGTAGAAGGATATGATAATGTCTTCGCCGGTATACCAGATAGCCCTTCCCTGAGCAAACCTTTCCTTCGGAAGGAGATGGAGCTGCGCATGCGGGAAATTTGCGCCGGCCGGCGGACACGACAGCAGGTTGTGCAGGAGAGTCTTGACATGTATCGGGAGGTGTTTGTGCACACGCAGCGGCGGATCAATAGGCTGAAGGATGCCTGTCGAAAGTACCTGAATGAACAGGAAACTTCCTAATTTTGCTGAACAAGATTGAAGTCTCGAGCACTGATTATGATACCCTTGGCTGGTGAAGTTTAATAATATGTATATTCCCGTCTGGCGTTGGAAATATTCATCTCATCCTTATACTTCAGGTCCCTGCGCAAATCTTTCCAGTTTTTTGATTCTTTGCAGCAGCAACTCACATCCAAACGTATGTTTTGTACTATATATCGAGCGCAGCAAAGTTCACATATCTGCACTCTGTATACATCGAATTTGGCATTGCCGGGAAAACTACGGTACATGCCGCCTTCAAATTCCATCCAGAAAACAGACACATCGACTCCGCTTCTGAGAAAGGTTAGTAGATTACAACTTAACAAGCCAAGGACAGCTATAAAGATACCTCGACCTTTCAACTCAGACGTTTCACGTTCTTCATCCTCATTCTCCCATCCACCCACCCCTCTTCATCTACCACATCTACCACAACTTATCAACAATGTTGGTCTCCAAGCTCATCCCAGCTACCACCATGGATGTCCGCAATCAATCATTCACTCTCCTCCTGCTATCCACTACAGTCATGTTGTATTTCAGGACTCTATTAGCGCATCCTATCTACTTCAACAACATACCAGCACCAGCGCAGAGTCCAGAACCAGCACCAACCGACGCCCTCGCCTTCCTCGACGAGCCCGTCTTCGAACCACTGGCATCTCACATAGCAGACCACCCATATCCGTGGCGTGACAAACGCCCATTCCAGGAGACCAATTATGCGTTGCTCATGGGTGCCGTTCAATCACTTCTTGAGGCTGAGGTTGACGAGGAAGAGGGTGGTGTGGGATTGAATGAGACTTTTGGGCAGCAGGATGACGTTGAGAGTAACTCGTCTGAGACATCTCTCCTCTGGGCTGGGGATAGGGATGATGGGAAGTGGTCTTGCGCTTAGCAAAAGCGCTCAGAAGAGTTGAGAAAGTGGAGATGGTCCTTCGAGACCTGGAATTGTGAGAAGTTCATGGTTTGGAAAGTGGGTTTTAGGATCCATTGTGACGGGTTTTTCCCATGAGTATTATTACCAAAGGGTTTTTGGATTATATGTCTGTCCATATTAATGTTTCAATGAAGCGTTGCTTAGGCAAGTAGTTCTTTTCACATACGTCCCTGTTGTCGTAAAGTCCCAGTCAAGGGTTATCAGCAGCCATTTTGATAAGTTGGTGATAATGCTTAATAGCGGGATGTGCCTTTAGCTTATCAATTATAAACAAGGGGTAATCCGTCATTTATAGGCTGAACTCATAGTGATTTCTCGTACTTCAGGCTCGAATAGAATACCAGACAGCTAGATAAAACACGTGCATTGCGACGGATGATGCTAAGCTAGAATGGGACATTGGTCATACCCGGGGGTAAGCAGTAACTAAATATTACTGCGCTCAGACAATGCAATCGGATATAGCCACCAGAGTCCATTACGTTTCTCGGAATAAGGTTCAGGAACAAGAACGCTATTCTACAATTATGTGGCAGGAAAGGGAACTTGCACGAGTACGTACCAAATCGTGCTTAGAGAAGATATATCTGCCTGACATGCTACTTATTTGATCACTTCACGACTCACTGTATAGCTAGAGAAAACAGGTTGGTCTCTATTCGGGCTACACATATATTGAAATGCGGACTAAATAACTTTCAATATAGGCTTGTCACTATATATTTAGAAACGACCAGGCGGTAATAATAGGAGATATGTTCTTCCTGTATCAAACAGTGGTGGTATATGTGACATTATGTAATCAAAAATATCAGCAAACTGGGGTTATAGCTCAGTGGTAGAGCGCTCGCTTTGCATACCTACAGCGAAACTGCGAGAGGTCAAGGGTTCGATCCCCTTTGACTCCATCTTTTTTTTCCACCACCACCTTCACTGAAGATGGGGATTTCCTTAATTTTCTCTCTATTTATTGCTTACTTTCTTCTTTGAAGGATGCTGTATTTATTTTTCTTGGCAATCTGCAATTATTCTCGAATTAGTATGTGGCTGAACTGGTCTGAGTTTAATATTGACTTATTGATAACAGACACTGCGTTGATAGAGCACTATCTATATATACTCTTACCGTGTGTCTTTTCTGGCCAGGAAAGCTACGTTACAAACTAGGGCAGGTCATGCAGAGTGAAAATTTGCATCATCTATTGATTCAGCTAGTTCGCTTAATGAAAGTTGCCAGCCTCTCCTGCTTCTACTATATGGGAAACACAAATAAGGGTCGGAAGATATCCACGTCTAGTAAGACGCACACATTCAGGGTTAATTGGGAACTGCCATCAGGCTACCTAGTTTTTATCTGGTAGTTGCAGAATCTCAAATCCTACGATCTGAGATTCTCGGCCTCATTCAAAGTAAGGAATGAGCTTCTCTGTAGACCGATCAGTCCAAATGGAGTTATATAGGTGCCTTGTAATCCCTATGTATCCAAAGGGAAAGAGAGCGAAACACAGGCGAACAAATCTCAACTACCCCAATCAAGGGCTCCCCTCCCTGCTTTTGGAAAAACCCACGCAAGATCAACCCATCACGATGGACCCCTTTAGCATCAAAAGGGTTCCCTACATCGTGTTATGCAACATCATCCGACAAATCCCCGACTGGGTGACACTGGAGAACCTCATCGAAGCGTCCCCACGAATCCAGGAGATCTTCGAACCAGGCAAGAATCCCAACGAAAGGACAGAGCCCGCAGCAACGCACATAGTCGACATCATCCTGAAGGGTAACCCTATAACAAAGGGCCATCTATACCGCCACTTCTGGAGAATCACCGAACTAAAACAACTAACCCCAGAAGAGCTCCAGGAACCATTCAGTGAAGGATGTTCCTCTCTCCGAAGAAGTGGTCTAAACGAAGGAGAGCCCGAACGACGCAGCCTAACAGAACTCCTCGCCCGTCATAAGCCTCCCACTTCTATATCCCGAGCCGTATTATGGGAAATGATACACATCGCCGCCAATATCCAACGATTAGCTTGTGCGTGTTTGACTTTCCTTGGGGGCCTGCTACAAGCCCACTTTTACTGGAACGGAAGGTTCCATGCAATGAAGGAACTGGATCTGAGCCAGCCCTCATGGGAAGAGGAATATCGCGTTTATCGCGCCTTGTGGCATTTGCAACTGTATTCTGTGCTACATAAGGGAGACATCCTCCCCGTGGATGGCCATATTGTGTGCGTCCGCGGCCAGTATCAGCCCGAGGTTCCTACCTGGGATCTGCTTCCAGGGGTTGCCCGTGTCGAGATTCAGACAGTGTCCCAGTGTCTTTTGAATCTGGTCAATGGAAATCATAATCTGAATATGAATGGGTGGAGAGAGTGGGTGAATTGGAAGAAGTGGTATCCGCTTGTTACTGAGTTGCCTGATGCATCTCGGCTTGAGTTTGCGTTTCCGACTCGGAGTCCTCCGCCCCAGCCTGATTGTTTACGTGGTGTTATTGATCCTTTCGTTGAGAGGCTTAAGGAATTTGCGGTGCAGAATAAGCTTGATTTCCAGAAGTCGGGGCTCAAGTTGCCTCATAGTTGGCATATCCCGGGGAATAGGATGATTGGGTTGATGATGTGGGATGTTCGTCGACTGAATAACTCGGGGTTGTGGCCACTGCGTTATTAGTGTATTTAGATTGTGCTAGGAGCTTGCCGAATATTTGGGACTGGTGTTCTCGCTAATTCTCCATGAAGCATACAGTATAGAAAGGCTGCAGACGAGCCGCACCTTCCTAATCAGGAATAGAATTTACATCATCCGTTTGTCTCCCGTTCAATAACTTTGTGTTGAATATAACATCATCCTACATCTTGAAGATCATCGAGCATAGCTACTTACTGCTAGATTAGGGGTATTATTATATCCGTTAGATTGCCGTCAAACCTCAGCCCGAGGCGAAATGCAGCAGTTCCTATCTCTCCTTCTGCTGTCCACATAAACGTGATATCTCGTTTTGGCCTGCTGAATAACACGTTGACAGTCTCTCTATAATATTACAAGAACCTAAAGGGCACTCTACTGATATCATCAAATATCATGGGCACCTATCCAAAGTTTGTTCCTTCTCATGGGTATGGAAGTACAAGCACACCATGACAATTTGAGGGAAATGGTTTTTGGGGGACCATTTAACAACAGACACCCACAGAAGACACTCGGAACACTAGATTAAGCATACAAAACACCCCGCCACAATAAGTACCAGCCTAGTTCCCCTTCTCACCCTTAGGATGCCAGCTATCATAATGAACGGGCCCCTCCTTAACATCCTCCTTCTTCTCATAGCAGTGGATGGTGAAATGCTTCTTATCAGCAAGTTCCGGGACAATCAGCATTTGCTGACGGCTGCGATCTCTACCATGAGGCATGATCGAGAAACGGAGAGAGCTCGATGGTTTCTCGTGAAGGCTTTCGATGTATTCGTCGATTCGCTTCTCGTCTTTCTGGTTCCACATTCTCTGGTTGTGTTGGTTCTTCTCGGGGATCCAGACTTTGGGGATTTTGTCGAAGGCTGCTTGGTCTGCCTTGATGACGCAGTACCTAGAAAAATATATCAGCATGATAATCATAGGATATGTGTTATTTTGTGTCACATACCAGGCATCAGGAGCAGCCAGCGCCTCATACTCATCACGGGAAGGAGAGGTGTACACTCCTTTACCAATCTGGGCACCCCACATTACATGACCGTGGTCAAAGTAGAGGCCCTCTTTGTTGTATTTTTCGGCTTGAGTCTGATGCAAAGGGGAATTTTTAGCTCTGAACATAATGACTAGTGAGATATCAAGAAAAGGTCTACCTTATCAGCACGGCGGAAGCCAACGGTGATTTCTCCACGTTTGCCCAGGTCAACAGGAGAGGCTACGCTGCAGGCAGCCAATGTCGCAACAAGGAAGCTTGTAAAGCCTGAGAGGTGCATTTTGGAAATTTGGGGATAGAATAGATCTCTTGGACTTGTAAGTTGATTGCGAATGGTTATGTTGTGAGTGATGATAGAGATATCTGGGAGAAATCTTCGCTATCTTATATCTGTGTCAAGCTCTATAGTATCAATTTGGATCAGAATGTTCCTGGCTGGTTGATTGTTCTTAGCACAGCTATACTATACGTGAAGAGCATGCTTGCACCCATCCCCCAGGGCTAGGGGGGCCAATCCTTCAATCCTTCAGGTATATAGCTCAGCTATAGTATTGACTAAACATACGGGTAATCAAAGTCAGCCTTGACGACGACTAGGGAAATATTATTTGGGCCCTGAATATTTGAATCCTACGTGAGATATCTGCATCCTGCCATTTTACTACATTCATTGGCTGAGGACATTTTCGGGTTTGTTAGAAGCCTTGACGAATAGTAATATGGTAGGTCTTTCTGACCTGCCATTTAATCAAAAAACAATGTTATATGTCCAAAACATTGTTCTTAATAATTTTAGAAACATCAGTCAAATTCATACATCATGTTGGTATTGATGAAATGTACTTATTTGCGTGGTTGAGCCTGCTATAAGTTGATATTCACATGTCAGGGTCGATCACCTGGGCGGGTTGGGGGCCAACCTGTCAGAGCCCCCATCTCGACAGCCCTAAAGGCTTACCTTCGAGGCTGAAGCGTTCCTGAGACCCTGAAACTAGCGGCTTGGGGGCTGGTCCATACCGAAAAGGCTGGACCCTGATAAACGGCCCCAGTTACAGCCACAGGGCGAGCTACTGATCTGCAACTTAGAAACAGGTTTTCCTTTTGTGGAACTGATGGAAGTGTGTAAAGGGTGGGATAATGCCAATTTAGTTGAGCTGGGCTGTGTCTACTGGTTCAGGTCAGACCCCACCTATAGTCCGAAGACTACTAAGAACCCTGTGAATCATTAGCAACCAACCCCTCCCATGTCTTATATTATCTCATCTTTCTCCATCTCCCTCCCTCTCTCTTTTCTTCTCCCTGAATAAAAACAACTGAAATGTTATTTTTCATAATAATCACCTTAATCAGAAATTTTGAAAGACAGCCATTTCCCTCAATCTCCATCTACTATGTGCAAAACCGACACTGCGCTCTCCATCCTCTGTGGAACATGGAATCTAGACTCTGAAGAAGAGATCCAAATGATATTTTACGAGAACGGCACGGGCGAAGTGAGTTTATCTAATATTATAGACACCCCTCAATATTGCTAATAAGCACAGTTAATTCTCCGTCATATATTCAACGCGTGGATCGCTGCTGAGACCGAATGGAAGTCACTTGGCCCTGAGCCACTCGACCAGATTTCCGTCAGCGACAGCGACACTACCTCTCAAACAGAGGCACAAGTTCTAGCGCACTTCGATCTAGAGATAACACTCACAAAACGCGCCATCACAACACGCGGCCCAACAGATAACTACATCTTAAACGAAGAGAATCTCATCGACGCCGCCTTCCTCCCTAAGAGATACTCCGTCCGATTGGAAAAAGGCTCGTTCAAAACAGCCTTCGAGCGGACAGCGGGACCGGTGCGTCCGTGGCGCCAGTCGTATGCTTATCAGCTGGTTTTTGATAAATCGCCGTATCCACCGCTGAATGAATGGAAGGATCCGGAGGAGGCACCTGAGCCGCCGTTTCTGCCGTTTGAGGGGTGGAGGGAGTTTTGTAGTCGGGCGTTGCCGAAGGATGAGCAGGCATAGAATATGGGGAGATGTTGTAGATACTTTGATTCAACAGTTGTCTATTTTCTATTTAACAAATGCATCAATGACAGCCGAAGTCCCACTCTGAGCAACTTTAATAGCTTTGCATAGTATACCCTCCTGCTCTAATACCTTACTAACACTAGCTGCAAGGATATGGATATCACTAGCAGCTCTAGTAATTCTGGAGTAGTCAAAACTAGGGTTGAAGGAGATATTCATTATGATTATTAACTCTAGATCTTAAGCCATCTAGATAGCTAAGAAGTATCAAGCATCTAGGTACGTTCCAGCCTATCAAACAATGAGTTAAGAGGCAAAGCAATAAGAAGAGAGATAGGTATCTTTAATGTTAAGCATAGTAATAAGAATAGGAAGCCCATATTAATACTAAATCCAGTGTACACTAGATAGAATACTGAATAGAAATTACATAAGAATATTAACATTATTATTATATATACAGCATTTATAGATAGATATATTGAATAAATTATATAATTCAATCCGCTCCATATTAAATCTGCTGGTAGTAAATACTAAAAATCGTATTTGTCTGACGGCTGCTATTGTCTGCCATATCTGTTTGCTTATTTGCTTTGCGCACCGCGCGGTTTTTGTACCACTAAGGTTTTTCCGTATCGGATATTCTTTTCTTTTTTCTCCCATTCTCTTATTACATTATTGGCTACTTGGGCAAAACCGTATTAATATGAAACCATACATAACTTTATTTAGCAGGCTTTGAAAACATACGGTGTTGGTAATAAAGGATGAAAGAACCGAACGGGCGGGTAAGAAAAGGCTTTTTGTTTAACGCAGTCTTTGTTAAGGTTGTAGACTGCGAACACATCCTGCCTGGTACCTGGGGGCTTAAAACTCTGAGTAAGCCCCTTTCGTATTTGTAGATACATCGATTTCATGGCTAGACAGCAACCAAGACATTCTTCTCATACGCTTATCCCGAGACATCCTCCTGATCCCCCTATCCAAATATTAATCTATCACACTTCAGGTGCTTACAATGGAACAAGATCAGCATGAAAGTCGAAGGAGCATACGCATCATTGAAAAGGCACTGAAAAGCAAAGCCAACACAGAGGAGACGCCAGCTTCAATTTCTAAAAAGAAAGGCCGTCAGCAAAGTACTCTTGTCCAGACGAGCGTACGGAAGAAACAAGACAACACAGGGAAACCAAGTTCGAGACGGACACAAAAGCCTCAAGCTAATACACCAAGACGAGCATCGAAGAGGAGGGCACCACAAAAGACCGCCAATGCAGCCAAACGTGGCCGTCGAAAGGAAGCACAGGGTGTAGCCAGTACAAGGAAGCAACCCAAGCAGGAAAAAAACCAGCATAAAAGGGTATGCTGTGAGCATTGCGCACTTAGAATGCCTTAAGATACTGACTCTATGTTTGTTATAGATACGTCCCTCGACCAAGACACAGAATATTCGGAAGACACAATCACCAGAACCATCATCCTTGAGCCCAGAACCGCAGTCCAAGAAGCGGCGTCAAGAACAGAACCCAGCAGTTCCTGATAGTAATATTGACGAAGAGGTGGGTCTGCATAACTCCTGCACACTGGAACCGGATCAAAACTAATATCATAATAGTTGCCTCTAGAAAGTCCACGATTTGAAGGGGATGCTGCTGTATATTACTGGATCAACAACGGAATTTGGCCAAAAGAAATGCCTCAATCTACCCCTAACACCCAATTATTGAATACCCACCTTGCTTCTAGGCCTCCAACCATTCCGCAAGTGACACAAACCCTCGAGCCAACAACAGCGGCCAGGTCTAACCCCTATGCTACAAATGCCTGTAAGACATACCTTAAGTCTAAAGGCAGCTACATGGATGAAGGAGTTGGGGCTGCAGAGAATGATAAAACGATATGTCAGGATCTTCTTAGAAGAGAAGTATGTGAAACCCCCAGTGGCACGGCATTCGAGGACAATACTTTGGACTATGTCCTGAAGTCTTTGTCAAACGCAAATGAGATCGGGGTCACTCGAATGATCAGTCAATTGCTTGTTCCCTCACCGGTACTCGAGATTTATGGGAGTCGACTGCGTTCTACTCCGAGGTTAATTGAGAGTATGAATCAGCCTTGGAGTTTGTCAGCTTCTCTCGATGAAGATCCAAGCACACGACGTAGTGTAGGGGCTAGAGAACCAATGTCATTTCTCCCAACACCGCGGCCAGACTATGCTGTGGGCTTTTCACGTCATGCATTTACCAGCAAGCAGATCCGCAAGCTTAAGCCATTACTCGGTGGACCTGACGAGACTTCTGTTTGCAAAGGTATAGAAGATATGCTTTTTCCATTTCTAGCTTGCGAAGTAAAGTCCACTACAGCAAATCTCCAGATTGCAGAACGGCAAAATGCTCATACTCTGACTCGGTGCCTCAGAGGTGTCGTTGAGCTCTTTAAATTATTGGGGCGTGAGAATGAATTACACCGGAGAATTCTTGGCTTTTCTTTTTGTCATAATCAGGAGCAGGTTCAAGTATTCGCTCATTTTCCCGTGGTCGAAACTGCAGAGCCGACTTCATATTATCGTGTCTGTATTGGAAAATGGAGCATATTAGACAAGCAAAGATGGAGGTCTTACAAATTTTCAATGGCCATCTACCATGACTGGGTTCCAACATTTTTTGCATTACTTTGTTCTGCAATCGACCGTTTACCGGATATACCTTCGGACATTGCACCTCGCCAGTCTCTGATTCAACCCGAGAGCCCAACGGACGAAGAATCCTCGGGGGGCAAATATTTATTTCCAGAGGACGAAGAACTGGTCACAGATACCAAAAGGAAGCGTGGTAATCAACTTCAGCCAGTCATTGAACGAAGGGCCTCCAGAGCTCCAAAGAGGTTGAAGGAAGGATAGTAGTGAAAGGCTGCTCTTTCTCATAGCCACCCACAACACCTTGACCATCATCGCTTATGTGTTCCTTCTTCATATAGTCCTCATTCCGGATTTCCTAAGTTTGTGTTATCAAATTGGTCAACATTTCTCATTATCCTATTAATATGTTACGGTATGGTTTTGGGGATACTAATCGCTGCCCGGATCAGATTGCGAAAGTATGGCATGATATTCAGCACAAAAGAGATATATATATACTAATTCAGTCAATCAAAGAGCAAGAAAACAGGTACTCTGTTAAGCAGCAATGTTCTCAATCCGGCGAAGCTGATTTCTTATTTACATTTTGGACTCTGTATGCATTCACAGAAAACGACCTGTCTATTTGACACAGACTGCCCTTAGTTATTAGCAATTATCATTTGCAACCCAGCCGCAGAGTACATATGTATCTTGACCTATATGCTTTGATAAGCCATGTATCACCCCATTCGGTCAATCACAAAGCACATCTATCTTCGGCTAGCTCAATTTCTCTACGGAATGTGGCTGCTGGAAGTGAATCCCGGACCCCTAAATACAATCTTCTAGCATGCTCCTTTCATAAGAGGATCTGAAGATAAAGTGCAGGGGCGGGCCTAATTATCTATTCAGATCCCAAGGCACCGGTTGGCGGTGGCAGGAGGTAGTAGTCAAAGACCACATAGGCAGAGGTGGCAGAGAATCAGGCGATGCCTGGCTACACTGAATGTCTCTCACATGATTTATTCGAATACTATATAGTATCAGCTATCCTGAACTCTCAAACATCTTGCTAATGCACCATCCAATGACTAATATTGGGCATAATGCAGCACTTCAATTCCCAAAAATTGATTTAGCAAGCTCCAACAGCTCAGCTTGACCGATCTCAACATCCTCTTCAGATGACCCTTTCGATCTTCCCATAAGATCCTTGAACTTTAGCTCGACTGAATCACCCTCCACATGGGGTGATTCAGTTCCATAATTTACTGTAGTCCTGGATTTCAGCACAGGCCGGTAATCATTAGGGCCTCCCTTAGACTGAGACCTAGTGTTATGAGACTTTTGATCTTCGGGGCCGTATTTCTCAAGCACGATACACTTGATTCTCATCAACACATTGATGATCAAGACAACCTTAACCTCCCCAACGGAGTTTGCAATCCACCATGCAGCATCCTGCCGCAGACGTGGCATAGAATCATCAGACACTGCAGATTCAATCACGAAGGAAGGCCAGTGCCGCTTATCGGATCGAACAGCAGGGTTTTTGAAGGCACCGTCCCCTTCTTTGATCGAGCCCCATGGTCCTTCGAATTCTGAGGCTCCGAGGGACACGAACTGATCGATATCGATGTCCATGTTAGCGAGCTTGCTCGATATATTGTAGTAGAGATTATCATGCACAGTTTCGGTGGTGTTAGTAACCACCTTGAGTACGAGGGTGCTGATTTCAGGGTAGTAGGTGAAACGGACTGCGCTGCCGAGTTTCTTTCGATGACTTTCAATAAATCGAAAGTCTTTCAAAGAAACATCTTTGAAAGTTAGGTATTGGCTGACATCTTCTGTTTCCAGTCTTTGTTGTAAATCTGCAATGGCCTTGATTAGGGCTTGCAGGTCCTTGTAGGGTGTAGGAGGGCACTTCCTGATGAGGGCGAGCTCGGATGAGGAAGGCATTGTGAAGATATCCTTCTAAGATGGAGCAGCTGAACAAAGAAGTGAGTATAAAGGGTGAGGCTTAGGGTGATTGGGGAGTGGGCTGATAGAACCAATTGTAGGGGTGAAGCACGGCCTTAAATAATGATGAGTGATAGAGAGTATATATTGACAACACTATGTTATCCGTGAAGTTTCGGGGTGTGCCGTTCATCAGCTCAGTGCAACTACACTTCTTGAGCAACTTTCTGAGCATGAGGCGACCTCGGCGATACCGGACCTTGCCAGTAATGATCTCCAGACGACACATTCGATTTAATTCTCATCGGCTGTTTTCATTGCCTAACTTGAGTATGCTTGAGTCTATATCTGTCTTTTCATTAAACCATATTTATCAGGCTACGCCACCTTTATCAAGATGTGATGATCCCGTAATCCATCTCCTTACTTTTAATTCCATAAACCTTTATCTTTGATCTTTGAAAGAACCGACATCATCGATGGAAGCAATGGTCCGGAACATCCCAGGTCGAGAACAAACAACCTGCAAAAGTCCTAAAAGCTTTGTACCTCTGTTGTATTTCTCTGTCTCTCACCGATTTCTGGACAATACTATATACTTCCGAATTTGATTCTCGACCATGTCGCCATTAGATGATACTCATCGTTCCTTACTTAATTAATCCTGCCCAGAAGCTCGTCTTGATACACTCATTTTGATTCAGTTATTTTCCTCTCTACAGTCAAAATGCCTCGCATAAAACAGCCCCATCAAGAAAGCTGTCGAAGAAGCGATCGCATTCGTGACATAGCACAGAAGAAATCAACCAACACAGAGAAGCAAAAACCTTCTTCACCATCAACTAAATGTACAGAAGTATGTATGATGCAAGCAATTTGCTATACTACTATCAGACACTGACGTTGTGGGTATGATAGCCACAAACCAAACCATCAGCCAACATGCATGAAAAGCGAAAAGCGCCGGCACCACAGCATTCAGATAGACAGCCCAAAAAGCCTTGTCAACAGCGGAATTCTGCTGTTTTGGATCCTGTAAACATTGATCAGGAGGTATGTCATTTGTTACTGTTCATATAATGAAGAAGCGTAACAGGGCTGACATTACTCTAGTGGGGTCAAGCATTAATACAAACTGTCAAAGGTTCTTCCATACACTACTGGATACAGAATAATCAGTGGCCAAAGAAGCACTTCAACAGTGTCCTTGGGTATGTTCTTATTTCGCCTCCAGAAAGCTCGGAGCCTACAGAAGAAGAAGAATGGAGAAGAAAATGAAAAGAGCAATTGGAATCGTATTGAAGCCTATCTCGGAGACAAACTTTGTGTTCTACCTTAAGTGCAAGGGCAGTTATCTAAATGACAACAGAAACGGGAATACCAAAGATGACATGAAGATGTGTCAAGTTTTATCGAGAACGTGAGACTTCCAAAGACACACTATTAGACAGTGATGCTTGGTCCCATATCTACAAGAGAATAGCTCAGAAAACAAAACTGCAATAATTTGGTTAATGGCTCGGTATATTGTTCCTTCTGCTGAGCTTGAAACATGCAGAGGTAAAGTCAGCAGATCCATAAATCTTGTTGAGAGTATAAATGAGGCTTGGACATACTCAGTTCGACTTCAGGGGGATCCCAGGTCTGCAACTACTCTACATATTGCCTGTAAAAGCTCTACCTCTAAGTAACAAGAAAAAAGAAAAACCACACAAAAACCCAGACTTTCTTTGCTAGCGAGCCATTTATTCAGCCGGAAGGGGTAAAAGGAAGAAAAGTAAAATTCCAAAAAAGATTGGAGTCAAAGGGGATCGAACCCTTGACCTCTCGCATACTTGCGAGGATGCAAAGCGAGCGCTCTACCACTGAGCTATAACCCCAGTCTTCTTGTGGCAATATAAAGATTTTTAAAATATATATTATATTTTATGCTAGTTATAATATCTACTTAATGCGAACACATAGACTTTCGTCCAGAAGTTACTTTGTCATAATAGCCTACTCTGCCTGGCCAGAGCTTTTACAATTTCCCGAGATTTATCTGCAATTACCTTTCGATGTATTAATAATCTTTTGCAGTCATATGTTTACTACTAACCCTGATTATGTTCAGTGTTAAGTTATTACACTAGTACGACTACGGATTGTGTACTCCGTAGGTTATTTATTTTGACAGATGAGCTGTCACTTACTGTATCAAGAGTCAGGAAAAAGCAATATGGAAGTTCCTGATAACTAAGGTATTATCTTCTCCACCAATTAACTCCCAAAATCTGTCAGAACCTTGGCCAGACCTAGTATATCGTAAAATAGGTATAGAGAGAGAGAGAGAGAGAGAGAGAGAGAGAGAAGTATGCTTGATTCGTTGCCATCTAAGCGCTTACAAGAAATGTAGTAAAAGAGGTGGTTGGTGCTAGTGGGATTCCAACACATCGCCTTGGCCACTAATATTATCGCTCTAACAAATAACCCCTGTAACTTATGCCCAATTTTGGGGCTATTGGGTATTTACGCATATGCACACATGTACTCGTCATCCTCGTCAAATTGGTTAATGTTTCCGGCTGATAAGACTCCTCTTATACGGAGTGTCAGAAACTAGACTATTAAGTATTCATCTAAGTCTGCCTTTATCAATCGCACCAGGATGAGGAAACTCTATAAGAAAGTCATAAACAAAGCACATTTACATAGACGGGGCGCAGGAGTAGTAGACGCCGGCAATAAAGATGAGACGGACGATGCTGACCGCAGCCTTGCGACAGAAGCTGAGCGCCCTTCAACAGAAGTCCATCACGATGATAAATCCCAGAATGCCTCTCTTCCTATTGAAAACCCTTTTGATGAAGCATTGAAGAAGCTTCAGACCCGACAACCATGGGAAGAAGCTTACAATGCTGTTCAAGAAAGCCATCCGGATTTATTCAATGCGTACACTCGGGCTTTACTTGAATGGGGTGGCCATACAGGAGATGAGGCCCTGGACCGAAAGCAAGAAGTGCAAGCCCTTGCTCAGGAACAACTTAAAGTGTGGCAGTCAGAGCAATTTCGCTTGTCATTCAATGGAAAAGACATCATTGTTGGAGAATTGGCGAGAAAGGTTGTCGGAGTTGTGCTTTCTGTTAAAGATGTGGTCTCATCCGCCATTTCAGCTGATCCCCATGCTGCGTTGGCCTGGGCCGGAGTTATGGTGGCTCTCCCAGTAAGTAAATCCATCTCAAACTGCCTTGCTGTTACTGAACCCCTGCAGGTGCTCGCAAATATCTTAAAGCAGGACTCGGATGCCATGAGTGTATTGGATGGCATTTCTGCTCTGCTGGTGCGCTACCGCTATGTGGAAGAAGACAAGTACTACAGAGCCGCTATGACCTCAGCGTAAGCACTCGAGTGATGATATACGTCCATACGAGACAGTCCAATTGCTAAAAAAATAATTCAAATTATAGGACCTCGGTTGACAAGGTGAATCTTCTTTTGCTCATCCAAGACAAATTCGTCGATATGTATTCCCAGATATATATCTACCAGCTCCGCCTCATAAAGCATTTCAGACATCATAGAGCCGCTAGATATTTCGAAAATCTGAAGGACAGCCTCGGAGACGAAAATTGGAGTACGAGCCTGAATAAGCTACAGACAACAAGGGATGGCCTCGATCGCGACCTGGAATCTGTCACAAACGGCATGATCTTTGAGATTGGGAGCAAAGTCGATAAGTTTTCGAAAATGGTCGAGGACCTCAAGAAGGAGTTGAGAAACCAGACTCGTCTGATGTCAGAGCAGAGAGATCGAATATTGAGGGCTTTCAAGTACTCTGCCATGGCCCCATTCGATTCATACAAGAACGCTGAAGAGCCAAGGTGTCTCATAGACACCCAAGTGGAGACGTTGGACATGCTTCAGAACTGGTGCAAGGGCGATGGAAATCCAGTGCTCTGGCTTCATGGGATGGCTGGAACGGGCAAGTCAACAATTGCTCGGACTATTGCATGGGCGCTTCAGGACAGACAGTGGCCAGACGGTAGCCCTGTTGATATCAATATCAGACTAGGGGGAAGCTTCTTTTTCAATCAATTTGAGCCGGAACGCAACAACAGCCAGTACCTTTTCCCAACCCTGACCCAGTGCTTGGCAGAGTCCTTGCCGGACATAAGGCAGTACATTGTTGATGCCATTGATCAAGATGCGCGCATCGAAGAGAAAGGACTTCGGGTACAATGGGCTAATCTCATATCTGGGCCACTGCATAAGCTTACCAGTTCTTCACAAGCTCACTGGCGCTTCATTATGATTGTTGATAGCCTTGATGAGTGTGGGGACCAAGACAAAATTGCCACTGTGTTGAAACTGTTGGCCTCCCTAAGAGATCTGCCATCGGTTCGATTTCTAATCACCAGTCGCCCAGAAGCCCACATTCGATTTGCTCTTGAGAGCCTGCCACCCGAACTGTACCATTCTCAGCCACTTCATAAAATCTCACCTAAGAGTGATGACATCACTCGCTTTCTTGAAGCAGAGTTAAAAAGAATTTGGGAAAATTACAAATCCGCGATACCAGAGGGCTGGCCAGGCCAAGAGAACATCGAAAAGCTGAAGGAGAAGTCAGATGGACTTTTTGTATATGCTTCAACGTGTTGTCGGTTTTTGGAAGATCCATACCACTATTCTTCCCGACTGGATCAAATTCTTAAAGACAATAGCGAAGCCGAAACCCCACAGGCGAAGTTGGACAACATTTATATCAGGGTCATAAAGCTGTCTCTGAATGCGAGAACCAAGAAAGAGCGGGAAATCATGATCGAAGACTTCCGACTGATTGTTGGGACAATCATGGTAACATTCAAGCCAGCCTCAGCTTCCACTTTAGAAGCACTTTTGTTCTCTCCATCCTCGAAGGATAAGCGTATCCAAAGATGCGTTGAGCCTCTCAAATCTCTTTTGGATGTTCGGACAGCAAATGATCCAATCCGTCCAGTTCATCTTTCTTTGCGCGACCTTTTGTTGAGTCGTGAGCGCTGCAAAAGCACCCCAGAGCTTTACATCAATCCTCAACAGCTGCACTTGATCTTGTTTGAAAGATGTATGGAAACATTGAAGAGCCTCAAGCAAAATCTTTGTGACTTCATACTCCCTGACTCATCGCCATCAGATGTTCCCTCGGAAAGTCTGGAGACTTTCCTACCAGCTGCATTGTGTTACGCGTGTCGCTATTGGATCGATCATTTGATGCAGCTGGGCAGTGATGAGCAAAGCGAGCTGCTGAATGATAATGGGGGCATTCTTGAATCCTTTCTTCAACAAAAGCTTCTCTTCTGGTTCGAAGCCTTGAGCCTCATGGGTGAGCTTGAAGTTGGTGTTTCTCAACTCAATGCTCTCCAAAACCTTGTCAGAGTATTTCAATCAACGTAGTCCCTAACCATATCCTCGTATTTACTGACAACCCATAACAGGACTCTCATTACTTCCCGCTTGTCAGAGATGCGAGGAGATTTCTACTTCACAATCGGCACATTATTGAGCAAGCACCTTTGCAGGTCTATTCATCCGCTCTCGTATTTTGTCCAATGAAAAGTCCCATCAAACAGATTTATTCACACCTCATACCCTCATGGGTGACACAACAACCCGTCATGGACGATGACTGGTCACCGGAGCTTTTTGTCATTGAAACCCAAGGAAGATTCAGTGACAATATTATATTCTCCCCAGATGGAAAGACAGGTGCTTCTTCATCTTACAATTGGGATGGCAATTATTATCTCAAGCTGTGGAACGTTCAAACAGGGAAGGTGAAGTATCAAACGAAAGTAGGGGCGAAGTTTGGGTTTGAATTCTCCCAAGATGGAAGTCTAATAGCGCATGGGACTGAGGACGGAAGAGCCAGACTATGGAATTTGGAGACTGATGAAGAGTACTTTCTGGGTGAAGTGGGTAAAGGCGAAATCCACCGTATTGCATTCTCTCCACTTAGCGACTCTCTCATATTTTCCAGGGCAGACCATTCTGTTGAAGTGTGGAACTATCGCCACTGTCAACAGATTTATGCACCTTTTACTCAATTTCGGGAAGATTACGATGATTACGACACATGTGCGGTTGGATTCTTGTTCAATGATGAGGCTGTGGTGCTCTATTCGAGTACTAATAGAGGTACTTGGGAGATCTATTTGCTTAATGAAGCGGGCACAGAACTTGAGTGTATTGTAGAGGGTGAGGCGCCTGCATATACGAGAACTAACTTCTGCGTTTCGAGGAATGGGTGCCGAGTTCTGGTATCAAATCAGAATCTGGTGAAAACATGGGATGCCAAAACAGGACGACTAAGTCCCAAACTGATTGCTTGTGGCGAAACTCAGACCGGTGATCGTGATATATATACAACGGCTTTATCTTCCGGCGGTCGCTTCTTTGCAACTTCCTCTCTGGACAATACTGTTCGTGTCTGGGATTCAGTTACTCACACCCAGATCTTAAGTTTCCGATGCGACCAAGGCGCGGTGGGCACAATTGCTCTCTCCCATGATGGATCACTATTAGCATCATGCACCCTCGATAGTGCAATCCGACTATGGGACATTACAGTTGATCGCCCCCACACTGAGCTCGCCAATCCTGAAGCCAAAATGACTTACCCCTTTGGAATCGAGGTTATCACGAATACTCAGAATGCTACCACGATGTTGCGGAAAGAAGACACGGGGAGTTGTCGGTTTTATACTGAAGACTTCGAATCTCTCCAATTCTGGATGCAAGGTAACTTGATCGCACTGATACTGAGGAGGGCAAAGACACTTAATCAACCTACAGCTCATTTGTTGAGTATGGACTTGGAAAAGCAGTCTCCCAGGTTTTACCTTGGACATACACGAGACGTGATCGTATCATCCTCTAACGGGGAGAAATTGGCTGTTCTTGGTGAGGAGCATGTATGGGTATTGGACGCAGCAATGTCTGAAGAAATATTTATTTCTCTACCAGAGAAAATCTATGGTCTTCAGTTCTCACCAGACAGTCAATTTGTCGGGATGATCCTCTCACGCGGCGTCGAGATATGGGACCTGAAAAACAAGAAGAGGGTCATCCTGCGTACAGAACTCCCGGACAAGCCGGTCTTAGGATTCTCACCGAAGTCTGATGCTGTTGCCCTTTGGGTCCGAGATCATCATTTCCCTCCACGCGGTTTGTTACTTGAGGTTTGGCAAATAAGCGGGCATTCTTCTCAGCAAGTGAATGAACGTACCCCTCCGAGTGATTCACTACATTGTGGCTCGTTGATCTATTCTGCAGATGGTGATTATATTGTTATGCTGACGCTGCGATTTTCTGGTACAGCCTCGCATAACTCGACCAGCTGTACTATTGTTCTACTTACGTACAATCTAGCAACGGGATTGATTGAGAACATACCATGTGCGGCAGGACTATATCTTCCTGACGGTCCAATGGCGGCCTGGTCAGATTTGATTGCTACAGCACCAACTTCACGACACGAGGAGCTCATCATTGTCGTAATCAATTGCAAAACTGGAGAACGGGTTTGCACATTTTACACTTCACTGGCAGAGGAATACTTGGGATCCAAAGAAATCTCATTCTCAAATGATGGTCGGTATCTAAATCTCGATCGAGGGCAAGTTCTCATTCCGGTCAAGAATCGTTCCCCAACAACTGAGATGTATTGTCCATCCAGTTTGTGGGTCGGGAAAGAGTGGATCTTCCAAAGAGGGCGAAAGTTGCTATGGATCTCTCCTGTGTTCCGGAATCGTCGCATGAGTGTGCAGTATGACGAAATTTGGGTCTATCCGGAGTATGGGAAAGTTGGGCCGATTGTCTTCTTCAAACTCGATCTTGGAAAGACCCCTTTCGCTGCTGAGGTGCCACCTGAAGGAGAAGGGTTTCGCTATGATGAGCAAGAGAGGGTGATGTATCTTCGCTAAGTTCAGAAGTTTGTTTAGGTTGTTAGAGAATTGAGAGTATTGAGCACGGCATGGCTGATACAGGGAGGTATGATGTAAGGGATAACGCCACCGCAATATCTGAATTCTAGGGAACATGTAGCTCAATTAGCCAATATTTCCACAATGTCTGCTTGTATAGTACAGGCAATGGTTAAACTAGGCACACTATGGTAACATTATAGCTGAGTTCCAGCCCGACTCGGCCACCGATGTAAGAGACACCCTTTTCAGTATAATGTATCTCACAGTTGTTGACTCATTAATTCCAGCATTGATAAAATATATACCAAAAGAACCTCCCCCATTCTTTTGGATTTTTCTGATCAGTACTTATCTATACTATCATGAAAGCTTGAACATTTATGTTTTATTTTTACCCATGTTCAGCGCAGCCTAAGCTTCTGCAAAACAGTAGTATTATTATCGAATACCTACATAATGTCTACATTTTATCTCGGATTTCATAAAGCGGTGGTGGTTGAGAGATCTGAATGTGATAGAAGGCGTCTCTTGTATGACACTACTTAGTTGGCTGACCGGGAGAGGAACTACACGCGACAAGTTCAGAGATTGTGTGTCAGGTTCAGAGAAAACCGGATACTAGATGACCATGTATTTAGGTTGTTCATGATTATAGGGACTCTAGATATTTGTAAATTTTTAGAAATTTTTTGAACCCTTCTCTTTTCTATTTCGCATATCTTCATGTATTTCACATATCGCATGCAGAGCTTGTTTGGAATCAGAAATAGTATCAGACCGTGTGCATAAACCCTCAAAAATTAGACCAACCTGTTTTTCTGGCTATAGTCCGTTAGAAGACAGTAGATTTCTAATAATAATACTCTTCACTGTAGCATGTCTGCTAGAATAGTCTGTAAAAATCAGGGTTAAACTTCATAGCCCTATTATGTAGAACTCTGAAGGAATAGTAAATAGTACAAGCATGATAAGTCTTCTGCGATTGTAGATTACTATTAACACTCAAGACACGAGACTGTCTTTATATTATGTTTCGGACCGCCCAGTGAGCAAAAGGCGGTGCCAAGTAGAACAAGAAATGGAAAGGGAAAGTTCTTCGATTGCAGCAGGAATTCTGCTCGATAGTAGGTATCTAATGAGTTTTACATACAGTCATTAATGTGTGCTTCATACATCCACATGCTCCAACACCACGCTACCCTTTCGCGCCGTCGCCTCCACATATCCCGGATTCTCTGCCTTCAGCTGTTTGAACGTCTTCTCTGCATCCCATACCCATGGGCTCTCCGACGCGAAAAGCAGATCCATGTCCTCCAAGGTACGTTGATTACTCTCTGGGTAGAATGCCCACACCATCGGGATTGCGATGACGTTACTAGCCGCGAAAACATATAGCGTTTTCTCACCAATAGCGCCGAACATCACGGGGCATAGAAGAGTCTAGTTGGCTTTGTTAGCTATGCTTCGCAGTCAGGAGGATGAACTTACCAGCCATCCGTTTCCGATACTCCACCCGACTACGCCCCAGGCGTTTCCGCGGGCTCGTACTGCGAGGGGATAGATCTCGGCGGGATAGACCCAGGGTACTACAAGTGTGTGATTAGCGGGTGGCTCTTGGGGAAGAAGTTAGGTATGTACCTGTCAGCCATGTGGCTCCGAAAGCAGCAGTAAAAATGAAAATCATTGCGGCTGCAGCTGCACCAAAGGAACTGGCACGAGCAGCATCTCCCGAGTCCCGAGCATTGATGGCTAGGCGGGAGAATCCTCCTGCTAGGAACATGGCGATTCCTTGACTGACGGCTCCCCAGTATAGGGTCCATCGGCGACCGATACGATCGAGCGTGAAGACACATACGAGCGTTGCGAACTGAGTTGTTAGCCACGTCCCATGTGGGAAGGCATAGTACTCACCATGTAGAAGACGTTATTCAGACCACTAAGCCATTGACTCTTCATCGAGTCAAAGCCGGCGATGCTGAAGATAGTGGGCGCATCTGCTCATGTTAGACTAGTCCGGTATCTGTCATATTGTGGTTGACGTACAAACAGTGACACCTGCGATACCAACCCATTCCTGCATAATTTGCAGCCAGACGACCAGCTGCACACGTCGTCCAAGATGCAGTTTGCCTGTCTTATGTCCGAAGAGCATTGATAGGTATGAAGTGCTGTGGTTCATTGATCGTTCCATTTCTGCAACGTTCTGGATATCCCGAAATTCGGCTTCAGCGCGGACAGCATCGTCGCCGGTACTTCCTCGAAGACGGCCAAGGATGTAACGCGCTTCTTGCTCGCGACCAACTTTGACCAGCCAACGTGGTGATTCGGGAAAGAACCAGACCGAGAAAAACAAGAGAAGCAAGAAGATAATCTGAAACGCGATGGGGAAGCGCCAGCGGAACGCGGATTTGCCGCCATCGATGAAGGACAAGCCACTATGCGAATTAGACAAGTCTCGGGAGTAGCAAG